CGGGCGGAGTGCCCCGGGGCCTCCCGGCGAGGCTTCTGCCTGCGCCCTCACGGCCCAGCTCGCTCCCAGAGTCCGGGAGCCGAAGCCGCGCCGCTCCTCGGCCGGTCGGCTAGGACCAAGTGCCCCAGTTCTGGGGACCCAGGGGAACCACGAGTCCCAGCGTGCCTTGCGCCCCGCGCATGCCCTGATGGCAGCCCTTAGGCGGGGCCCGGCATCAGCTGGGACCCCGGCGTCCTGGACTGAGACCTGGAGAGGCTCGTGGGGGTCCCAAACATTAACCCACACCGCAGGTGCCGTTCGTTGGGGATCCGGAGCCGCCCAGGCCCCCACCTGGAGCGGCCGCGCCCCTGCGCTGTTGTTTTTGCATTCAGGATATCGGAACGCCGCGGGGTCCACCGAGGGCCTGTGTCTGGGCCGAGGTCACACAGCTCCGTTGCCTAAGGGCTACTAAGCTCCAGTGGAGCAGGTGCAGGGGCCTGGAAGGGCCGGCACGTCAGGTGGAGGGGAAATGACTGGGTCGGGCTGCGTGCCCTGGGTCGGCCAGGTACTGCACTCCTGCTGCCGCGGCTTTCTCCTCTGAGCGTTGCGGTGACGATCCCTGCCGCCTTTGCAGACCCTGGAGGTTCCAGGGGTGAGAGCTCTGTGTGTGTGCAGGGGGTTGGGGCGAGTCAGAAAGGGGAGCCCCCGCACACCCAGGAAACTCATGTCCAAATGCAGGCCCAGACGCAGAAGGCCTGGCAGGTATGGCCAGAGCTGCGCGCAGTGAGAGCCCCTGTTGACACAGATAAGTACTGTCACTCCCTTTTACACCTGGACAGACAGCCTCTCAGAGGTCAGACCATGTTTGGGTCACGGAGCTGCTAAGAGGCAGGGAGGCTAGCTTCAGAGGCTCTGCATTTAGGAGTAGCCTCGGACCGGCCCACCGGCACATACCAAGTGTATGTCCATCCCAGTTTTACGGATGGGAGACAGGTGAGCCAGGTCAGGAAACTGTCCTAAGGGGTCAGAGTTGGAGCTACAGACCTGAACCCGTCCCCAAGCACCTCTGCAGATACCTCGTCCTCCCCCATCTGCACACACACAGTGACTTGCTAGGGGGCCAGGCGCTTGGGGTCAAGTGTGTTGGGGTCTGTCCTGAGACCCCATGCACACGTATAAGATTCTGAGCCCAAGTCTGACCCTGCAGAATCTGGGAGACCTGGACCCCCACAGCTCTCCCATCCTGGGATGGGTGCTGGGCCTTGTCTCTTTGGAGGAGGGGTGAGGACCATGGAAGAGAGGAGTGGGGTACTTCCCAGCTCTGAAGGAGGGAGGCAGGCAACCAGCTGTCCAGCTCTCAGCTGAGCGGGAGCCCTGTTTGGGCAGAGCCTGGGCAGGAAGTGGTGGCCACGCCCTCCTCTTCCTGCCTGGGCCTGCCCTGGTTCCTCCCATTTGCAGGGGAGGTCTGGGGGAGGAAGCTGGAATGTTGCATGAGTGTCTGCACTTGGAAGTCTGATCCCTGTCTGATCCCAGCCACAAGCTCTCAGCTCCTGTGGGCTCCTCCCCCCCACACACACACCTGTGTTTTAATTACCGAGCAGCCACGGAGGACCTTGTGTTGGCATTTGCAGTGCTTGAGCCAACTTAAGGGGCAATTAGAATGTGACCCAGGTCGTCCCTGGACAGCTGTGTGACACTGGGTAAGTCATCATTTCTTGCCTCAGTTTCCTCATCTGTAAAATGGGCAAACACTGGTACCTACTGAGAGCCCTCAGGTCACTGTGAGGAAACGATCAAGATGAGACTTGCTCAGACCAAGCAAGAGACCCCAGGCCCCCCATTTCTTCACAGAACCTCAGAGCAGATGTCCGTGCAGAGGTGAGTCACCCCACCGGCCATTCCTGGAACTGGTGGGGCCACACTTCTGGATTCTGGGTGAGAAAGTCCCTTCCCCGCGGTGAACCACTGTCCTGTGAGGTGGAAATAAACATACCTGCCTGCAGGGGTGGGGCCCTGATGGGAAGAGGGGGCCATGCGGGCCACGCTGGCACATTGGGTTCCAGAGCATAGCGGTTCAAGGAGAGGTCCCAATCTCTGTCTTCTCTCGAGAAATGGGGAAATCTGGCAAGATCTGGCCCCACCCCACTGGCTCCAGAGTGTTTGTGTCTGCGCCCAGGGAGGTTTTCAGGTTGGGAGGTATGTGTGACTAGCCTCTGGCCCCCAGGAACCCCAAGGACTGTAGGGATTCACTGAGGACTTCCTGGAGCCAGCATAGCTCTGGGAAGTACATGAGAGAGTCCTGCATGAGAGGAGTGTTGGGCAGGGACCTTCTGCTCCTGCAGATCAGGGGCAAAACTAAGTCCTTTCCGTGGGCAGCCACCAGCCAGGGCGGGCTGGGCTCTGCTAGAAGCAGAGAGGAGCAGTCACATGGAGTAGCCTTCTGCTGTCACACTGCAGTGTGACCGCTGATGGCTGAAGCCAGAGCCAGCCAGTGGGTCGGGAAAGACCCAGAGGGGCAGCCTCCGAGCTAGCCCCAAAGCTGGAGCAGGCTCTTGCCAGAGGTAAGTGGGCTAGGAGGACAGAGGAGGGGAGAGAAGGCACTGTCAGAGGCGCGGCCTACGAGTATGGAGCTGGGCTGCGGCCGGAGGTGGCTCTCCCAGGGTGAGAAGTCGTCAGGGCATTCTCACCATGTGGCCTTGGGCAAGTCACTGCCTTTTGGAGCCTCAAGTCCTTGTCTGCCTGTGATGTTTAACTTCAGAGAAGGCTGGACGTCAGAGACCCCTGGTGGGTACTGAATGGAGACCCAGCTGTTGTAACAGGACTATGGAAAAAGGGGGCATCCCGTTCAGAGATGGGGTTCAGTTCACACTGCAGACACCCTAAACAGCGTCCTGGGAGAGGTGAGATGAGAGCAGAGCTTCAAAAGGCAGAAAACAGGATGCAGACGGGGAGAGAGAGGGCATCCCCGGAAGGCAGTCAGGCCTGAACAAAGAAGAGGTGATCCCAGAAAGTTCAGGAAGGAAGAGGTTGTTCAGTGCAGTCCCCAAGGCCTGCTTACATGCGGTTGACAGCAGGGAGCCACCACAGGCCCTGTGCCTGTCACAGCAGGCAGGCAGGATAGAGGGCAGTCTTATAAATACAAGCACTTATAAATGGGGTTTTCTAACTGCTTTGACATGGTGGGAAAATAAAGATGGTTGAAAGAAATATAGAGATGAATAAAGAATTGAAGAGCTGGTTAAAGTCATCTTGTGCGCCCACACTTACTCTCGGGTGCGCAATTTTAACTGCGGTGAGTAGGGTTTGGCTAGATAAGTAACCTCTGTAGCAACGTGTGTGGCTCTGCATCCTGGGCTTGGTCTCCCGCTGTCCAGAGGTCTGCAGACAGCCTGCCAGGTGCACATTCAGTCATGGCGCTGCCGGTCAGCGTTGCGTAAGCATGTCTCTCCAGACATGGGAGCATGATCCTTCTGAAGCATCTCTATTGACTATCTTTGCTGAAGAGGGGATGTCTGACTCCAAAGGACCAAAGATTTTATGGCTTAAGACATGCTGTTTTATGTAGTTTTCTTTTAGAATTATAAGTCATACTGTCGAGGGTTTTTAAAAGAGAGCAAATGTACAATATTATATATAGTAAAAAATCTACCTCCTGACCCAGTTCTCCGTTTTCCCTAAGGACAGTTGCAAATCAGTTTCCTGTATATCCTTCCAGAAATAGTCCATGGTGGTATATATTCAATTAAAAAGCTGATACATATTGTTACAGCCTGTTCCATCTTGGTTTCAATTTTTAAGTTTGGGATTATGAAATATACCAAAGCAGCATAGAAAATGAGTCCCCTCCCCTCTCACCTATGTTAACCCTTTGTGCTGGTGCTTGTTTGTTTAGGGTGGTCTCAGAGGTAGCCCCATGTCAGCGCATCCCTGACTGCCCCTTTATGATAGCTGCTGAAGAACCCAGGTACCAATTGCATGGTGCACCCACCATTTGTCCTTTAGGCGGGTCCCTTTTTTGGATATCCAGAGTATGCTGGATTTTTTCCTTATATACTCGAAGTGGGGGGTCATACCCCACTTTGTGTGTGTGCTCCAAGAGGCATCCAGGCAAAGAATGAGGCTTAGCTTTGGCTTGGGTTCCGGCTTAGTTCCTGCTCTACCACACTTCTAGCTGTGTGATCTGGGTGAGTGAAGACCCTGGTCCTTGCTTTTCTCTCCTACTGTATAAAGTGGGCAGTATTGTATAAAGACGGGTAGAAAATAAAGCATAGAAGCTTCACTGGGTTTGGGGAGCTCTCCATCGACACTAGGCCCTCCTAGCCCCCCAGGCAAGCAACTGGAACTCAGGGCAGCAACTGCTGTTAAGCCTTAAACCACAGTGTGCTCCCCGCCCCTTTTCCCTCGGCCACGCTGGGGGCGGGGCGGTTAAATGTGTCTGTGGCGTCAGCACGCGCAGGACCAATCCCCGTGCCTGGCAGACGTTAGCTCATTTGCATGAGTCGCCCGCCATTGGCCTGTTGGGCAATCCTGGCCGTCCCAGCTTTTTAAAGACGCCGCGTAGTATAAACAAGGAGATGTGGTGCGGCCTGGCCATGATGTCATCGCGGTGCTGCAGCTTTTGTGGGTGACGTCATCTCCGAGAAGGTTGCCGGCCCAGGGCTGTTAGGGCCATCCTGCCCACTGCGACCGGCCTCACAGGCCGCTTCCGCCCGGTCGGAAGTCAGCTTCGTTGCACTTCAGTGTTTCAGGCGGCGTCCGGTCCCCGAGGAGGGGACGATGACACAGTAAGTCCGGGCTGCGGCTTTCCCAGCGGGACCCATTTCTCTAACAGGGAAACAGCTTCGGAGGCGCCTATAGTTCCGTAGTTTGCATAACAAGGCTGAGTTGCAGCGGGTGGGTCTTGAGCCCATCCCAGGGTCTTCGCATCTTTGGGTCAGGCCATGTGGCCCCGCCCCTTACTCCTGACTATAGCTGCTGTCTCTTTAAGTGCGATGGTGGGGGCGAGGTTTTAAAAAAAAATTTGTCTTTTAAGATGGCGGCCTAGTGGTCACGTGGCTGGTTGCGGTGAGGGATTGGCTCTCACGGCCCCGGCGGGGCGGGGCTCCTGGCGCGGGGCGGGGCCGCTGCAGGCTTGCCGCCGGCTACTGTTTGCCGAAACCTCTCGGCGCGCCCCCGCGATCCCCCCCCCCCGCCCTGCGCGCGACCCCGCCGCTTCGAATGTTGTGAATCAAATGTGGGGTTTGTTACATTCCGCTGCCGCCGCGGGCAGTTCTTAAAGGGCCAGCCGGCCGCAGCGTGCAAAGCCAGCTGTGTCCTGCGTCGCTCCCGCTCCCCGAGGGCCTGGGCCGAGAGACTGACCGCGCGTGGGCCTCCCGAGGCGGACGCCGTCGGGGGGGCAACAAAGAGAGAGCGCCCCCGAAGGGGCGCAACAAGGAGAGGGCGCCCGGGAAGGGGCTGGGCTGCCTCTGGGCCGGGGGGTGGGGAGGGCAGCATATTGTTCCGCCGGGCGGGGGCCCTTAAAGGGTCCGGGCAAGCCCCCTCTGCCCCGTCGCTCAGCTTGCCAGTCCTCGGTCGGGAACAAAGGAGTCAGCGTGTGGCCGGGCAGCCGAAGGTGAGTCGGAGCCAAGGCCCCCAAGTCCGGATCCCCGCACCCCTGGAAGTCCTGGTCTCCTCCCATGGGAATGGAGGCCGAGTACGGCTGGCCCCGCGGGGGTTAATCACGGGCGGTCTAGACTGGGGCGGCGAGACCCCTGAGGTCTGGGCTTCCCTAAGGCCGGGCTGAGTCTCCCCTCTCCCGAGGCTGAGCGCTGCAGTTGGAGAGGAAGGAGCCGCCCCCTCCCCTTGTGGCCGCCACTTCCTTTGTTGTTGCTTTTGTCTCACGCCGAGCACATGGTCTGGGATCCTCGGCTCTTAAAGTCACAGCGCTATGGCCCCGGCGCCGCAGTGTACCCTCCCGCCCCCGGTGGCCCTCCGAGCACGCACAAAGGAGTGGGAGGGGGCCGGGGGAGTTCCCGCACGGAGGGCGTGCGCGCCTCGCCCCCGGCCCTACCCGTGGGGAGCGGTGGCTGGGGAAGCTCCTCGGAGCCTCGGAGCCTGCGCCTGGCTCGTGTTGTGGAGGGGACTGCCCCTCAGGGACACTGGCTCGCTCTCTCCCTGACGTGGTCCCTGGTTTTCTTGTTTCTTGCTCCTCTGGCTTTATTTGGGCACTCAGAAGGTGAGGTTTCGACCCCCATTTTACAGTTGCAGCAACTGAGGCTCACAAGGGAAGAGACTACCCTGACCAAGGTCATGGGGACTCCGGTCCGTCCAAGAACTCACTCCAAGGCTGGTAGACCTGGTGGTCAGGCCCTCGACCGCCTCCCGCACCACATTGGGAGCTCTGCTGGCCCTGGGCCCAGCTTGCCTTTTTGAGGTGGGGTTGGAGCAGGGAAGTGGGGAGGGGCCCTCCTCTCCCAGAGCGCCCTCCTTCTCCCAGGCTCTGACTGCTCATCCACGGAAGCCAGTGGCTTCCCGTGAACACACCCCAGGCAAAGCACTTTGCTGGAGCTCTGTCTACACTGGCCAGCCTCCTTGAGAACACAGCACAGAGATTTGGGAGGAGGTGCAGAGCAGGGGTGGCCACCTGGCTACCCTTGTGTGTGACCTTGAGCAAGCTGCTCTCTCTGCCTCTGGGCCTCACTTGCTCCTGTCCACAGCAGACCTAGTCACAGGGGTCCCAACGAGAACCCCCCCTGACCTCCCGACCTCCTGTGTGGCTGGGACTGGAGTTGGGTTTAGGGCCGCTGGTGCAGGCGGAGAAAGTCAGAGGTCAGGAGCCTGGGCCCCACGGCCGGCCTATACTAGCTCTGTGCCTTTTCCTGGCTGTGAGGCCTCGAGCAGGTGACTTCCTCTCAGCCTCAGTTACTGTTGAGTGGGTGTGTCCCCTCTGTGCCACTTCTGAACTTGGTAGGACTCAAAGCACAGGGAGTCGGTCCCTGCCTTCTCCTTCAGAGGTTGGAGGGTCGCCCTGATTCTGCTCAAGGTTTGGAGATAGAGCTCACTGGATCTCATTTTCTTAATTTTTTTTTTTAGTTTGGTAGAGGGTATGTGCGCTTGCCAGAGGAAGAGATAGAAAGAGAAGGTACCCCCCATGGGGGATGGTCACACTTCCGTCCCTCCCCTGCCATCTCTTTCTCCTTTTGAGATTTTGGGTACACATGCACACGTGCCCAGCGTTTTACGAGCTGCTGGGTCTGGGACTGGAACCACACAGCCAGCCATGTGCC